CACATGTTGAAATAACACCAATTTATTTTACATGCAGCAGGACTAGTTTCAAAATCTAGACAAGTGTCTTGTGTAAAATCTAGATTAATTAAACTAGGAGAAACTATTGTCCTCGGGCAAGCCTGTTGGTAACCAGATGATATGTTTAAGATAATTGACAAATGAACTAAAGAGAAGATGAGAAATGTTTTTATGCAGCAGGTTGTTATGATCTGGGATGTGCTGACTCGGAGGTGGAAACAGATTCTGTAGTAACTTTCGAATGGGTGTTGGATAGATAGTTGGAAAAGCAACATTTTCTGGAATATGGGAAAATAGCAAGGGAGTGGAATTAATTACAGAGCAATTTTTAAGAACTAGCTAAGGTACAAGGAGGCAAATGACTTGCTGCATTTTATAGTAGGAAAGAAAACCGGTACCCCACAGGGTCTAGGCCCAAAACGTCAGCCTTCCTGCTCCTATGATGCTGCTTGGCCTGCTGTGTTTGTCCAGCTCTGCACCCTGTTACCCCACATAGTTGTTTACCAAGCAATACAACAAAGGCCCGGCAATAGGTGGCACCTCCTTCTGTAATTTTTAGGATAGGGGAAAGCTAACTCTACAAACAGGAGAAAGTTACTTGAAAAGAGCGAATGTCAGCTTGGTCCATCCAAAACCATTATTTGGTAGAAGCTCCACGTCTGCAACTCTGTTTCAGTTTGATTGAAATATGTGGAAATCCACAGGATGTTGAATAATTTAATGGTAATTACGGTTGGTGATTTATAATAAAAATGCAGCTGGGACACCAGATTGCAGGGCAGTTTCTGAGTTGAACTGAGTCAAAATAGAAACTAGTCTTCTAGAACCAGACCAAGCAGCTTTTTAAAAAATGGTTGATGTCTTCCAGCAACAATGGACATTTACTGTGCTGTACTTTGATGATTGGGAATCCAATAAGTAAAGGCTTATTGCAAGCTACTTACCCAGGTGACATTGTATGCCAGACAGATTTAAGAGGTTTGGACAACTTTACTAAAAAAAAATTCTATTGTGTGTGATTTTTAAAACAGCAGTGACCAGTTTTGACTTTTTTTTTTAAAACCTTAAATTGTGAACCTGCGTTCACATCTGTCCTCTCCCAGATGACTATTGTCATTTGAATCTCTGTGTCATATAGGGCCACAAAATTAACCATTATATGTCCTGTCAGTCGACTCACTGACTTCTTCACCTGTGTTCACTGTTCAGGACTGTTGTGCCTAATGTATTGTTATACTGTCTTCTCAGGGCCAATGGTGTATGGAATCTGTTATTGCCTGCTTTCTAAACAACAGCAACTTGAGGAGCTCAAGGTTGCAGGTATGGAAGTCAAAATTTTTTTTTTTTTTTTAAACTTAAAAAGTCAAAATGTTTCTGATAATACAATGAAATTGTTAAATGCTGCCAAAACCCAAATATTGAAATGTCAAACAAGCAAGTATTTCATGGTGTAAGCTTAGTTCTTTATCACGGTATCAATACTGCAGACTTTGCTGCTCACCCCTTGGTCCAGGATGCTGCAACATTTTAAGTGTTTCTGATTATTCAACAAAGTCCTAACAATAGCTAGAATTAATCTGAAGTTTCTGTTGTGTATTTGGTATTGGTGACTAATTGCTATTCACAAAAGCTTCACAGACATGGCACTGCAAAGTTGTATCTTGTTGCACAATATTCAGCATAAACCAGGGATAGTAAAATGTAAGCGTCACTAATTGTTTTGTGTTTAAATTTTCTTCTTTAAGTTATCCTGGTCTCCAGGTCTTTGTGACCTTTCATGCTTTATTTGAAACCAAGAAGTGATGTGTGGCAGTTTCTTAAAAACCACCTGAATCAAATTAGCAGGAGGTACAGGTTTTGTGATTTCCAACTTTCCTTCCCAGCCCCAGAACAATGCCATAATCTTGCTAGTTCTGTGCTCGGTGTGGTTTAGATTGGGAATGTGGCAGAAATTGAAGATCTTCTGAAGAAGGGTCACTGGCCTGAAACGTGAATTCAGTTCTCTCCATTGAGACCTGCTGCCAGACCTGCTGAATTTTTGCAGCAATTTCTGTTTTTGTTTTTGTCACATGGGGATTTATTTTTTAATGTTCCCAAAATTAATTTTTCAAAATCAATTGCAACTTGCTGAGATGAAGGGAACCATTTTTTAAGATGTTGAGCCTCCTACGGTGTCATGGCAGCTCAGTGGTTAGCACTGCTGCCTCAGCCCCGGAACCCTGATTCAATTCCACCCTTGGGCAACTATCTGTGTGCAGTTTGCACGTTTTCCCCGTGTCTGCGTGGGTTTCCTCCGGGTGCTCCGGTTTTCTCCCATAGCCTAAAAATGTGCAGATTAGGTGGATTAGCCATGGTTACAGCGATGCTCTTCAAAGATCAGCGTGGACTCAATGAGCCAAATTACTTGCTTCCTCACTAGGGATTCTGTGATTCCTAGGGTGCATTTATTTGACTCGGAGAGTTGAAATCAAAACTTGCCATACAGCTGCTTATTCTCCTTTTATTTTGACTCAGGACCTTTGACTCAGGAATGCTTTCCCATTCTTCTTGCAATCTGTAGGTTTTTACAGTTGTGGTCAGGGGCCACCTTGCCACTTTCTGTTTAATCCCTGCTTATCTTTTATGCTGCTTGGTTTCACTTTTACTCTCTGGGCCTTGCCTCCAGAAGTGACCCAATCAACAGCAGAGATCACTTTGTGGGAATTGAAAGCACGTCCTTTGGTTTCCAAATGCCTAAATGTGTTGGTGGTCTACTGTGCTGCCAGGCTATGTTATTTTTGTCTTCACTTGTTCTTGTTGCCCCTACCTGATGAAGGGTATATTCCAGCTGCTAGGCTGAATGCAGATCTTGCTTGTTGATTTTATTTCCCTTTCTGCTTTTTTTTCCACTTACTTCCTGCTGCCTCAGAAAACAACCTCAGAAAGAAGACCCCTCCCACCCTGGTTATACTCTCCTCCAATTTCTTCAGTCAGACAGAAGATATAAAAGTTTGAATCTGTTTGTACATGTATTCAATAACAGCTGCTTCCCCACTATTATCAGACTTTTGAACTGAGCTCTCAGATGTTCATGTTCATGTTAATCACTTCTCTGCAACTTCTCTGTGGCTGAAACACTGTATTCTACACTCTGTACTGCTCCCTGATGCCTGTATCGAGTGTAAAACAACATTACACTATAGCTCAGTATGCGACAATAACATACATATCAAATCAAATCAAATCAAATTTGTTCTCTCTTCCAGACTCCAAGACACTGACAGAGAAAGAGAGAGAGAAACTGTTTACTAAACTAGATGAAGCAAATGATTGTATTGGCTGGGCCTTGGAGATTCTTTCGCCCAACGTAATCTCAACTTCAATGCAGCAAAGGTATTGCACAGCGTACTTATGTAATGGAGTGAATGCTTTGAGGCACATTATGGCTGGAATAAGATGAAGATAACTGACCACATACAGATGTCGCAATGGGCTGATAATTCCACTTTTCTTTGTGGGAAAGTTACACTTGGCAGAACTTGATACAATAGATGTTGAATACCCTCCCTTCTATACTATCTTCACAAATGAAATGTTCCCTTATGATTAATTGAGATTTTGTCTTAATTTCAATATTAGTGCTAAATTTTAATATTTTTAACCATGTGGAAGTTCTGCCATTAGGGTTGTCTGTCTTCTCAGAATTGTTTTAGCTGAATTTTAATGGCCCATTAATGACCATTTAATTACCTTCCCTTTTTTCTTTCCATCCTTTTATCAGATGTCAATTATTATTCTGTAATCTTGAATCCTCATTGCCACACAGAAGCTTCATGCCAAATGTAAAACTAGTAAAATGATTGTCTAAAGTTGGTAATCTTACTTCAAATCATTGACAACTTAAAGCATGTTGATACCTATGCTGCTACCGCTGAAGGTGGGATTGCAGGTGATTAAAAAGGCAAATGGAATTTTGTCTGCCATTGCTCAAGGGATGGAGTTTAAAAACAGGGAGGCTATGCTGCAGCTGTATAGGGTCCTGGTGAGGCCGCATCTGGAGTTCTGTGTGCAGTTTTGGTCTCCTTACTTGAGAAGAGATATACTAGCACTGGAGGGGGTGCACACGAGATTCACTCGGTTGATTCCAGAGTTGAGAGGGTTGGATTATGAGGAGAGATTGAGTAGACTGGGATTATACTAATTGGAATTTAGAAGAATGAGGGGAGATCTTATAGAAACATATAAGAGTATGAAGGGAATAGATAAAGTGGACGCAGGGAGGTTGTTTCCGCTAGCAGGTGAAACTAGGATTAGAGGGCATCGTCTCAAAATAAAGGGAAACAGATGTAGGACTGGGGTCAGGAGGAACTTCTTCACCCAAAGGGTTGTGAATCTGTGGAATTCCCTGCCCAGTGAAGTGGTTGAAGCTACCTCGCTGAATGTTTTTAAGACAAGGCTAGATAAATTTTTGAACAGTAAAGGAATTAAGGGTTATGGTGAGTGGGCGGGTAAGTGGAGCTGAGTCTCAAAAGATCAGCCATGATCTTATTAAATGGCGGGGCAGGCTCGAGGGGCCAGATGGCCTACTCCTGCTCCTAGTTCTTGTGTTCTTATGATGCCTACTACAGTTTTTGGAATAGTGCAAGTGGACAGCCCAACAATTTCATTTATTTCTGATCTCCAATCAAGGAGTGCTACATACTGATTGCGGGCCTATCAGCTATTGGTGACATCTTTTTAAGGTTAGAAGAAAGCTGGCAAGTTTGGAACCCTAGCTCTGCTTGCTCAGCTTAAAATGCTGGCTTGTATTGGTTGCAGTCATACTGCAGTTGCTGTCCGGCATCAAGCACAAAAACATTTCTCGTATGGCTTCATATCAGCTGGAGAAGATCCAAGCTTGTCGGAACTGCGTAGTAGGTATTTCAATTTTGATTGGTAAAATGCTAGAATCACCTCATTCTGGAGTAAGTACACCTTCTAACTTTCTGATCCTGTTCTCCCCTCTGTAGTGTTTTAACAGCTTTCCACAGGTTGACAGCAGTTGCTGTATAGGCATCAGTGGGTGTGATTTCATGGCCTACTTGGCATAATACATTTTAGCTATGTGCAGATCTTTTCATAAACCTTATTATAATCAATGCTGTGGAAATCTGTGCTATTCTTGTGAATACAATTCTTTGTGTCAATATCAGCTGCAAAACAGTGGAAACAAAATTTAAATTGTATTTTATTTAGTTTGCAATCCAAAGAAAAAGAGAATGCACTTTAACACTCCAGCACCAACACCTTGTGTCATTTGAGGCACTGCTACTTTAATGAGAGAGTCACTCAGCACCCAACAGCTCTTCAAAAGGGTTCAAGAACATGAAAAGTTTCAAAGGGGATTCATTAAGGGCAATCCCACAGATTGCGCAATGCCATTTTATGATTTTAAAGATTTGCTATTTGTAGCATTGCTTGCAATCTTGCTGTTGCAAGATTGATACACCTGGGACAGTTTTCCCTTCTGGTAGTTAAAAAGAAGGCAAAATTCTTCCACATAGTGAACTAAAGGTTTGAAGCCATCAATTACTGACCATGTTTTATCATTTCTTGTCCTCATCAGAACTAAATATAACCTGAATGCATTGTCTCATGATGCTGCCATTGGACTCATTCAGTATGCATTGGACAGTGGCGTTCAAGTGAAAGAGGTGAGGAGGAAAAATGTGCTGGACATAGTTCTGTGAAAGAGATAATTGCATTTCTGCTTGTGACTGCTTAGATCTCTGCTACTACTGCTCCTTTTAAAAATTTAGTTCTCCTAAATGTTGACTTGCTACTTGAGTCATCTTTAAGTGCTGCCTTCTTCTCTATCAGTGAGCTTTCAGTTGAGCCATTCCTTGGGATGCTGTTGTCTTTCTCTGACCTACTGCTCTTGGAACCCCCAAGCTTGATTTTTGCCATTGAGCGTGGCATTTTTAAAATACTTTTATTCGTTCATGGAATGTGGGTGTAACTGGCTCAGCTAGTTACAGATCACCCTCGATAGATGATATATCCTTGACAAGTGGGTGTGACCTGCCTTCATAAGTCACTGTAATCCATGTCATGTAGCTGAATGATGCTAGAGAAAAAGTTATAGAATTTTGACCTAGTGACAGTGAAGGAATGGTGATTCTAGATATAAGTCCGGATAGTGTTGGTTGATGGGGAACTTGCAGGTCTTTGTGTTCCCATATATCTGCCGTTGACCTTCTAGGTGGTAGAGGTCATGGGTTTGAAAGGTGCTATTGGAGGATCCTTTGTGAGTGGCTGAAGAGCATCCTTTGATGGGACACACTGCTGCCGTTGTGCATCGGTACGGAAGGTGGTGGAGAGGATGCCAATTAAGCAGAAAGCTTTGTTTCAGATGGTGTTGAGCTTCTTGGATATTGTTTCAGCTGCACCTATTCAAGAAAGTGGAGAGTATTCTATCATACTGTAGATTTGTGCCCTGTACTTAGTGGACAGGGACTGGGGGAGATAGGAGGTGAGTTATTCACTGCAGAATTCCTAACTTCTGACCTGCTTTTTTTAGCCACAGTATTTATATGGTTGGTCCAGTTCAGTTTCTGATCAATGGTAACTGCCCAGGATGTGAATAGTGCACGAATCCGCAATGGTAATGCCTTTTGAAATGTAAAGTCAATTTTAGAAAAGTTATCAGGAAAAGCATGAAATTAATTCTTTGTTATTGGATCTTTGCTAATTGACCAAAATTGAAATAATTAGACAATTGCTGACCGAACTTCGAGAATAGCATGTGTTATTGTTTAACCTCCAATGTTGCTGTAAGTAATGCATGTTTTGATTCTGTTTGTATCTTAAAGTTAATATGACACAATGCGTACAGCTGAAGGAGAAAAACTAAGGCAGATGGAGCACGACCTGATTAATTTAAAAGCCGTTGTTTTATACTTCTTCTTATGTGTGAGAAAGGCAAACCATTGAATCCGGAATCCTGAACGTACTCCGATTAGGTAGCATTTGTGGAGAAGGATGCAGAATTAATCTTTCAGGACAATGATCTTTCACCAGAAGGGTAGAGGGCTGTGATGTGATGATTGCAAAGAGGAGGGAAGACATCGTTCAGCTAAGCATTTTGCTAAGACTGCCTTTTATGTGATTGCACTTACTTTAGTTACTTAGTGTGATGGGAGCATTTCCTGCAATGAGATTGAGTGGATTGTTGTGGCGAGGCATTGGCCTAGTGGTATTTTTGCTAGACTATTCATCCAGAAACTCTGTTAATGTTTTGGGGACCACGGTTCGAATCCTGCCACGGCAGATGGTGGAATTTGGATTCAATAAAAAATAAGTCTGGAATTAAGAATCTACCATGAAACCAACCATATTGATTGTCAGAAAAACCCATCTGGTTCACCTAATGTCACTCAGGGAAGGAAATCTGCCATCCTCACTTGGTCTGGCTGACATGTGACTCCAGGCCCACACACTGACTCTCAATTGCCCTCTGGCTTACTAGGCTATTTCATTCAATTGTACCAATTGCCACAAAGTTTCTTCAATGGCAGCTAGGGACAGACAATAAACACTGGCCAGCCAGCGATGCCCATATCCCACAAATGAATTTTAAAAAAGTTATTGGTGGCATTATTCAATTGGGTTGCTGATTTCATAGTTCCTTTCTATTTTTTCTCCTCAAAAGGACAAAAATCCACATAGTTAAACATTTGCATTCAATGCTTTTACGCAGTAAAGCAAGCCAAGATGTTTCAGATTTCAAAGAAACAGATGCCAAGGGATACAAAGGATTGAGAAAGTACTAGATTGAGCAGAGGAGGGAAGACGTGTTTAAGCTAAGCATTTTGCTAAGACTGTCTTTTATGGATAGTAGACACAAGAAATCTTGAACAAAGTAAATTCTACCAGGTCACAAAAAAATTACTGCCATAAATATCAAAGATAGTGATGGTTTGATAACCTGATTCTCATTAGATGGCTGGCATGTCAATGAGGAGTTTTAGGCAGACACCTTTGTCTTATTTCGTGGAATATCTGTTCTGAAATCTCTGCTGCCATTTTAGCTTCTGTTACCATCTGCTTCTGAGGACTATGTAACATTTGGCTTTTTTTTTAAACTGCAGGATAAAATTTTAGAACTAGATTGGACAAGATCATGCAGTCTTGCTTCAGGTCTCTATTTGAATAATTGTGTACCCCTGTCTAAAAATAACAATATATTTTTATGCTTTACCATGGCAATGGGCCTTTCTTTTCAACTGACACCGTATTCTGATTTTTAAATATATATATTCCAGATGCATCTCCTGTGTCTTGCCCACTCTTGGCGCAACATATAGGGGCTGTTTTGAAACAGTTTGACCAGCTTATAAATTGGTCCAGGGTTATACCAACTTATTAACCCACTAGCATTTTATATTAGAGCCAGAGCTACATTTCATTGTCCACTTCAAGCACAAACCTGGTTCATAGAGGTCCATTGAGCTACATGGGAAGAATTGGTTCAACTGGTGAATTAACTTGAATGATAGTCCGTGAGAACATTCGTTAATGGCTGGAATTGAATAATCATTTTGCTATTTATATCAATAATAAATTAACCCCATTGCTTTTATCTGAAATTGATTCATCTAGTTTCAGCTACGATTAAGTTGACTTTTAGATTTGTTTTCATTTTATGTAGAACAGTTTAACTATGCACATGTACAAAGTGATAGGTCACACCTGTGCTTCCTTGCACAGTACATGCCTAATCTTGCCTGAATTGCATGTCTCATTCTGTATTTTTTTTAAACAATTATATGTGGTATTTAAAAGTCACTGTTCCAGTCCTCCATCTGGAGAGTTTTTCTGCCTAGCTATGTGAATTCTACAGTTACCATTCTTATTATGTAGAACAGCTAACACTGATTTTTATATTGCTGCATTAATAACTGAATCTCTGCTTATCCTTAGGTTTATGTAGACACAGTGGGACCTGCAGAAAAGTATGAGGCAAAGCTGAAGGAACGTTTCCCAGGGCTGGAGGTCACAGTCAGATCCAAGGCTGATTCCTTATTCCCAATAGTCAGTGCAGCCAGCATCTGTGCTAAAGTGAGTACTGATTGCTAGGAGTGTGTTTAAGTTTTCTCTTTTGGTCATGGGAGTACCTTTTGCCACATGGACTCCTGCAGTTTAAGAAGAAGATTCGCTACATCAATTTCAAAGGCAAACCAGAGACAGACAATAACTTTCACCCCTACCAGCAATGTCCACTTCCGGATAATGAATAAAAGTATTTGAAATTCTGGTTTCCCAGTTGAAATAAAGACATCTTAAGCATTTGAGGGAACAATTCATGCACTGTATTTAGCAAACTGGTACTGTATCAAGCTAAGTCCTCTATAACTCTACTCTCTCATTTTCTCGCTAAGGTAAATTGGCCATTCTCCTGAGTAAACTGTAGTTTTGTATCTAAGGTTTTAAAGAGGAATTCCAGAATTATTTTATTTTAACAAAAAATATCATTGCACTCATTCTCACAAAGTGCAATTTAACACAGTGCAATTTAGCACAAAGTATTTTGGGGTATAATTACAGCAATGTACTGTCACCCAATTGCAGTCTCCTCCCTGATAGCTGGAATGGCATAGGCCAATGAGGCAATTTTACTTCACTATCTCTGGTACTGCACAAGGGGAAAGCTCATGGTGAGCATCTGTGCTTTGCTATGCTTGCTTGTGTGGAACAATGTCTTCAAGTGCAAAGTGTTTGCAAAGAAATCCAAGTTGTTGATGACTATTCCATATTTGTTAAACTAGTCTCCTTTTAAATTCTTTGGTTTATCTGTATTCTTTGGCTAATATACTCATAGACCCAGGTTCAAGTCTCACCTGATCCAGGGGCGTGGCGTAACCTCTCTGAACAGGTTGATTTTAAAGTATCTAGAACATTACAGAATTCAATATGTGAGTGACTTAAAAATACTGATGTATTCAGGGGAGAAATGGAATTAAGATATAATTTATTTTACATACTTGAAAAAATATTCTTTGCATCTTTGACTAATGTACTCATAGATGGCATGGATATAACTAATTCAACACTGCTATCTTTCTGCTTCTCACCAGACTTTTGGACAGGTCTTGATTGTGTCTTGAGTTGCAATTACTGATTAAACCATCAGAGGGCAGTGTTTAGACACCTGAAGTACAGCAGTTTGGAAAGAACTGGTCAAATGGGTCAGTTGTATGAATATGTTCCCTAAACTACAAGGCACATAAAATGTAATTTCATGTCCCTCTTTAATTTTTAAAAGTTTTTCTGTGTTGTTGATGTGTAGAGTGAGCATGGCTCTATTTCCTAGTTTACATAATGCTCTTTCTAGTTGCATAGGAAGGGTTTGACTGGAAAATTATGCCCTTAAGGTGGCAGTAGTGGGTCACATTTGCAGACCAATATGGGGAAAAAGAATATTATTTGAATTTGCCACAGTTTACAATATCTAATGAAACCACTGTGGAGTGTATAATATATTTCACTCCAAAGCAGACGTGAAAATAACAAATATAGAACACTATCTCTTGATGTGTAGTGGTAGTGTCTCTACCTCTGAGCCAGAAGATCCTGGTTCAACTCTCACCTGCTTCAGAGGTGTTCTATGACATCTCTGAACTGGCTGATTTAAAATATCTAGTAGACTATTTTTAAAGAATTCAATATGTGAGTGATTTAAAAATACTGATGTATTTGGGGGAGAAATGGAATTAAGTTATTTACATACTTGAAGAATATTCTGATTTCCCATGCATTACACTTCCATTTAAAAATCTAACATTAATTTAGTAATATTGAAATTTAACTGTAACCTTCAGAGTTGGTGAATCAGTTTCATCTTGTCCTTTAACTTGTGTGTCCTTCAGGTTGCCAGAGATCATGCTGTTCAATCGTGGAAATTTGTTGAAGACCTAGGTGATATAAACCTGGATTATGGTTCAGGGTATCCGAACGGTAAGAATTACCAGTAGGAAGAGGGTCATTGGTTAATACAGTACAGAAGTAATGACAACTGTTTGGCATTTTTGTTTGGAGGATGATATGAGAAGCTTGCACTGGGTCTTCTGAAGGAAGGAATAGAGAATGACTGTATATTCATCCGTTCACTTCTTCCTACTCAAGCTTTCCACAAGCCTCCCATTGAGTAATGTTGTTTCTTCAAATTTACTTTCAGCCAGTTTCCATTTATGGCATTAACTTCTTGGGAATAATGAAAAATAATAATCTGGGTTTATCGTGCCTCAAGTTTACTATCTTGTGTATTTTGAGGTTGTGGGGAGATTGAAGAGAAATGAGACCTCCATTTCTGTGTCCCAAACCCCACTCTAAACTGATCTCATTATGAAGAGCAAAACTTGACCTGCTTTTAAGGTCTTGTGATTTACTTTTGAAAATGGCCATCAGAATGCCTTCGTGATGTATTCCGGTGACTGACTTGCTTATCTACTAGAATAGGGAGAAAGGAACCTTAAATATTAATTCACAGAACATGTATAAAACAGCTGAGATATAATATCAGGAATTCAATACTTTTTATCGATACATTTTGCTGACTGATGAAAACCTCTTGAGTTCCTGAATGTCAAATTTGAACCTGCACCCACCTCATTAGATTTGAATGCTTGCACTCATGTGGCAATCTTACCATATCCATTATATTCCCCAATGCGTGTTACAAAGAACCAATAACTTCTAAAGTGCACCATTGTTGACCTATAGGTGAAATGCCAGTGCACAGCAAGGTCTGCAAACACCAAATATAACAGTCACAAGGTAATCTGCTTTTGGTGGTGTTATTAGAGGAAGAGACATTTGACGACTAGGAGCTGTCTCTGCTTCTTTCCAAGAAAACATCAGGAGATGTTTTGTACCCAGTTGAGCAGGCAAGAAAGTCCTTGTTTTAATCATAATTACAGCATCTTCAGCACTGGAATGCACTACCTGGGAAGGTGGCAGAAGCAGATACTATAGCAATGTTTAAGAGGCATTTAGACAATCACATGAACAGGCTGAGAATAGAGGGATACAGATCACGTGCAGGCAGATGGGATTAGTTTAGAACAGCACTTCATGGTGAACCCAAGGGTCTATTCCTGTACTGTACTATTCTAATGGAATACTCCCTCAGTTTTGTGATACAGGGTCAGCTGAGATTGTCTTCACATTGTTAATAGAAATTGAGTGCATAACCTTCTGACCCAGACTGACATTTCCTGGGCCACTGTACTGCAGCTATGCAAATGGCTAATAGAGATCTTGTGGTGGGTAGACTTTGTATCGTGCGTTGGTCTAGGTTTGGTATTAAAGGCACAGTTGTATTATACTTATGCATGATCTTGTGCAGATGAATTGAATGAAGTATTGGTTTGCTGTTAGAATTTTCTTTTTTATTTTTGCCATTTAAACCTGATTTATTGATTAAATGCTGAATCGTACAGTCAGAGAGAATGTTTATTAGTAGTCGTCCGGTAGTACAGAACTTGAGTATTATTGAAAAAGAGACATTTTTTCAGAGTTTTTAACCTTGCACTCAACAGGATTTTCGCAAGAATAATTATGAATTGTCCTGATAAGTGAAAGATGCAAAACTTACGAAATATGTATTTTTTTAGCGATTATATAATAATATTCATTCTTCAATCAGCAAACTAGAAGAGAACTTCTTTAATTTCATGAAAAATATTAAAAAGCAAGGGGTTTTGACCACTGTTGGGCATTATACAATGTCACATATTGCATTTCAAAAGTCTGGTTTCTCATTAATCTTAACTAACTTTTAAGTGTTACTGAGCATGACCAAAAAACTTTGAGTAGCATACATGTTGAACTAGAAGTAGTGATCTGAGTGCAGCATAAATAATGAAGTTTTGTATCCAAGATTAAGTATACAAGAGTCAGAAAGTGAGCTGAGTGTTGTAGGTGAGAGACGTTATGGTTAATGCCAAGGAAGGAGTTCGTGCTGTGCCGTTTAGTTGTTAGTTCTCACATTGGTGAGGTACAATACTTGCATAGTGTATGAATCCTGCACCACTCTCGTTTTACGTGTGCCTACAGGCTTGTGTGTTTACTGTACCATGTTGAGTTATGTTGAAATGTTGTCAGAGCAATAGGATGTAAACTTGTGTGTGAGATTCTCAATACATCAGAATTGATTATCATAGCCTTGCTGCTTGGGAAGAAATCAAATAAAGTAGAAAATGGGATCTTTATATTTTGGGAAAAAATCTGTTGATGCACAAGAAAATTCACTGGCCTTTTATTCAACATTCGCAGGATTCTCAGAAAACCTGAATCTTGTTTTTTAAATTGTAGTTTAATTAAGATGATTTAGTTGAATTTAACTAGCAGCAATAAATAATTGGTGGGTTTTATTTAATTGTTGAGTTTTCCTGATGTAAACTCTTATACATTTGATCTTTGTGCTTTTTCTTTTGGTTACCTGGTCTAGGATTTGCAATTCCTCTTCACATTCTACTCAGTGTGGGGTACTGTGTAGGTAATGTAATTGGCTCTCTGATGCAATTAAATATTAAACTCGGTGCAGCGCTACAAATAGCCACTGCATCTGTCAATTTCCTTATGTAATAGGGATTTACACCAGAGTACTCTAGAGAGGAGTTACCTTGTTTTCAAGGATTTAATTGTTTTTTTTCATTTGCATCTGTGTTTCCTTGTAGACCCTAAAACAAAAGACTGGCTGGAGAACCAGTTGGACCCTGTTTTTGGATTTCCGCAGTTTGTGCGCTTTAGTTGGAGCACAGCCCAGGCAATTCTGGATACACGGGCAGTACCTGTCCACTGGTATGTAACAAATTACATAATTAACTAGCCCATGTTACAGAATTTAGTTCAAGGAGAGAGTCTTGTCTCCTGAAACATATCATTGGGTTCAACTTGCTTTTTATAAGTCCATCAGATGTTGATGTTTTCCAGTTTTCTCTCATATTTCTGACCTGTCTCTTCCCCAACATGACTGTTTGGATCACCAGTCTTAATGCTGGGCTGCATCACCACTGTGTCCAATTCAGTTCAGACCTGGTTCTGCAAGTATGTTATTTTCCAGCAGGAATTGCTGGATGTCCTTTCTCAGGAAGAACCTTCGTTTTCTGCTGTAGTCCAGGGTTGCTGAAGCCAATAGTAAAACCTCTGTTAATTAATATGTAATGACAGTTATAGTACTAGAAGTAAACGTAATGAATATTGCTAGTCCATGTCAATTTTCTCTCCTTGCTTCCTGCTGCCTTGTTACAAGTTACTGTTAGGATATTGCCTTACAGGCGCTGCCCACTCTTCAGTGTCTCATCCAAGCTGGAAATTATCATTTGCAAATTTAGCATTGGGGTTCAACAGTCTATTGCTTTGGGAAGCATCAGAACAAAGGCCAATCCTAGTTCTTGTCTGATGAGTGCACTTGTTCTTTATTACAAGGGTCACTCAGTGGAAATCAGGAGTGAGATCCCAGGTTGATTGTTTGTTTGTTTTTCTTCT